AAACACTGGGATTTGGGGTTGGGGAAGAAGACATAGATTATATTTTTTTAATTTGGAAAAGAAATAGTTAAAAAAGGGAAAAATAAATTAAAAAACTTAATTTCAGATAATTTTTTTAGTTTTCAAGCATGTATAATACACGCCTATGACACCAGTGGCGGAGCCAGGATTTTCATTAAGGGGAGTCAAAATATAAAGAAATAAACTCATCAAGAAGTCAAGGGGTATCACTATGTAGTATATATACATAGTTTAAAAAAACTTACCGAGCTATACAGTCTAATTTTCCAGCGAAGGGGTGTCGTTTGACACCCTTTTGGTGCATGTGGCTCCGCAATTATGTGACACGTGGTAAAAGAGATGTGTAATTGACACAATTTTAAAAGTTTTGATGTATAATACTATTCCCCTGTTTAATAAGTTAGTAAGAGGGATTTAATTACAAGGTCGATGGGTAAGTATGATTTTTGCCTATATAATAAGAGATCTTCTTTATTTTTATGTGATGGTATTTATCTGCACATGAAATCGGAGAAAATAAAAATATTCCTTTATATATAAAGTTAAATTTATGCAAAGTTATTACCCAGAGATGTGGTAGGAGTAACGACTTACCCCCTTAATTAAAAAATTCAAATTCGAACATCGAGAATAGAGAAAGTGACTGAATCCAATGCATGGATGCCTAAGATTACATCCATCCAATGCATATGTTATGAATACTATTATACAATTTGAATTCAAGACGAAATATTGTTGTTAGCAACCTCCACTTCCAATCAAGAAGTTGTGAGTTCGAGTCTCACCAAAAGCAAGGTGGGAAGTTCTTGGAGGGAAGAATACCGAGGGTCTATTTGAAAACAGCCTCTCTACCCTAGGGTAGGGGTAAGGTCTGCGTACACACTACCCTTCTCCAGACCCTACTAAGTGGGATTATACTGGGTTGTTGTTGTTGTTGTTGACGAAATATTGTTATTTAAACCCTGTCCAAAATGTTACTCCCTCCGGTCCAAAATAAGTAATTTTTTGATTATTTTCACACATATTAAGAAACTCACCTTTTTAACATTAATTAGCAATGAAATTGATCATATTAACCTTTACTACCTCTTCATATAAATACTCCTAACACATACTCCAACGTTAATTACTCAAAGGGCAATGTAGGAAAAAAATAATTAATTCATTCTTGAAATCTGGAAAAATCACTTATTTTGGACCACAAGAAAAAAGCCAAAAAATCACTTATTTTGGACCGGAGGGAGTAAGCATTACTGCAATTTGCAGAATGTATTTTACTTATGTTTGACCCTTTGTAGCATAAGCCAACATTTTCGCTGTCAGGTAATTTGAGATTTGAAGTAATCCAATTTTAATTACTTCTCTCCCCTTTCAAAAGAAGAATTGAAACATAACTTTCTGGAGAGCCAAATAGTCACTTGATTACAACTTTTTGATATGCATTTAAATATTTTTAACTGTATATATTTTGATTTATGATTATTTTATCTAATTTTATTTAATTAAATAAATTGAGACGTAAATTCACAACAAATATTTGTTACTAGGGGTGTTCAAAACTGAACCGAAACCCAAAACCGAACCGCAAAAGTGACTTGATGGCTTATTGGTATCGGGTTATTAGATTAACGAGTGGGGAACATATTGAAATTTTATTATTAACGTCTACGGATTAGGGACGGATTATTCAATTTTCTTATCGGATAAACCATTAACCCGTTAAGAATTTTTCTATTTATATATTTTTATACATATGTATGACATGTACATTCAGGCAACCATGGAAAAGAAGATGATGAATTAGGGGATTGCAATGTGCCCATTTTGTATCAACATATGAGGATACCACAGTTTCTGGACATAGAAATGCCACTGTTTGACGTTGCAATTTCCGTGTTTACACAAACTATGCATGGTTTGGAGTCTTGGAGATGATATACTTTTGATGGATAATGGACTTGATGCTACTCAAGTGTACTCAAGTCAAGGCTACAAAGGATGACTGGATGATAAGACATGGAGTTTGGCGTACATGGGGACTGGATATTACATACTCCATGATATTGCATACTTTTGATATACTCAAATTGCCTTGAAGCTATTTAATTAGCTGGCTGTATATTTGTATTAGTATGTTGCCAATAGGCCTCTGTAATACAGATTGAAATAGGCCGATAAACTGCCGATAATAGCTAAATCGATACCAATTCACTCGATATCTTATTGGATAGCTAGCGGATTAATACATTTAAAAATCGATAACCGATAAGCCGAACCGTTAAGCGTAAATAACCGCCCAATAAGCCGCCCTACTTGTTACATTAGGTTCTTTTAAGTATTTCACATGGTCACTTCTCCGAACAATGATTCGACTCTTTCTATCTTTTATCCACCCATTCGTCAGTATCGTTTCGGAGGGTTATGCTGGACGTGCTAATAAAGTCTAACATTGGTAGTCGAAAAGATTGAGAACTTATTATTGAATCTTTTAGTGATGTGAGCCCTTTTGTGGAAAATCGTACGGGCTTGCCCTAAAGCGGATCATATCACACCGTATAAGAGTATCTTTGGGCTGGTTGAGCCCAATAGGTTGTAATGGGATGTTAGGGATACCGCGATTCTCAACCAGATGCCTCAGGTTTGAACCCTAGGAATGAAGAACTTCTTGATAGGAAATGCTTTATCCCCATAATAGGCCAATCCGGTATAAATTTGATTTAGTCAAACCAATGTTCTACAGATTTTGGATAATTAAACAAAAAAAAAAAAAAAAAACTCCAAG